AAAAAATTTAGAAAAAAGAGCACAATTTGAGAATTTCCAATTTCAAGGCGATTAATTTCTTTATTTTTCATTAAGAAATTAGGCCGACACCAGTTGAGCAGCATAGATTCACAATCAATTCTGTCGGTTAAACTCTTAGCCTCAGATTTAACAGGGAGTATTCGAGAAAAGGAAAAAGTTTCCGAAAAACAGTAAAAAAGTAAGGACGGCTCCCTTGATTGCATACTTCATCTCAGTTTTTTTCATTGCAATTTCAGAGATAACGTAATCAGTCCAAAAATTTGGTCAAAGTTATTTCCCATTGAAAGTTTGGGCAGTAGCAAAATTGAAATTAAGTATCTAGTTTTATTTTAGAATGGTTATTACCATTATTGCGTGCTAAAAAGCACGGGTTATTGAATTTTTTCCCCAATTAATGGTGTGCGGCAATTTAGCAAGCTAAATTTTAATGTTAAAATTTTAATTTTTAAGTTAACTCGAGCCTAACTAAATTTGTTTTAAATCTGATTAAAACTTGTTAAGGAGATCATTCGTCTAAACAATGTTTTCAGTGGAATAGTTGGTCGCGTTCATTTGTAGTTTTACTGTTTCAGCTATAGCATGGGCAAAAAAACTACAAAAAGGTTAAATGAAACTGTTTTTTCTGTAATGGTTGTCTGTTTACGTTAACTTGAAGTTCATTAAGTTCAGGGGTTTTATTGAGCTTGTTTTTTGGCTGATTTATCTGAAATTATATGTATCTTTTCATCCTGAGTTACTGCCGCTGCAAATTTTCAGAAACAAGTGGTACTTTGCAACGCTTGCAATCTAGTTTAAAATTGCGCTGCATGATCTTGAATAGAAATAAAAGCAAATTCGATTTTTTTACTAAATCAAATTGAAAAATTTTCTTGGAAAGTTAAAAAAGTAAATCTACAAAAATGTCATTTTTTGTGTATCGGATGATGTTTATAAGCATCAGCAACAATCATTGAGAATCAATTATCTTGTGACAACTATTGCAAATTAATTAGTTTGACAGAAAAAACTCCGGAACTTGAAAAATTTCTAAAAAAACGAGCACAAATACACATTTTTCTTTTTCAAGGGGTTTTTCTCAATTTTTTCATCAAAAAATAGGTCGACACCAATTGAGCACTTCAGATTCACAATCAAAAAATAGGCCGACTCCAGTTGAGCACTAAAGATTCACTATTTTTTCTGTTGGTTAAGCACCTAGCCTCAGGTTAGCAGTGAATATTCGAGAAAAAAAAAGTTCCAAAAAGCAGTAAAAAACGAGCGGACGATCCTTTAAAAAACGCTCCCTTGATTGCATTTTTCATCTCATGTTTTTCATAGTAGTTTTCAGGAAAATAAAATAAGTCCAAAAACCTGGTCAACGCTATCTCCCACTGAAAGTTTGAGCAGTAGTGAAATTGAAAATAAGTGTCTAGTTTTCTCTTAGAATGGTTATTACTTTCAGTGCCTGCCAACAAGCAGGAATTTTTGAATTTCTTTTTCAATTATTGTTGTAAAGCAATTTACCAAGTTAATTTTTAATATGAACGTATTAGTTTTAGGTTAGCTCGAACCTTTTTAAGTCTTGTTTTGGATTTCAATCAAAATTGTTAAGGGGCTGATTTGTATAGAAAACGTTTATGGTGGACTGGTTGGTTCCATTTATTTGTATTTTTTTTGTATCAGCTAAATGGGCGAAGAAAACTAAAAACTGTCAAATGAAAAAGTTTTTTTTTGTAGTTGTTGTCTGTTTACGTTAACTTGAAGTTCATTAAGTTCAGATTCTTTTTATTGAGCTTTTGTTTATCAGCTAGTTTGTCTGAAATATTTTTCTTTTCATCCTTGATCACAGCCGCTGTAGCGTTTGAGAGACAAGTGGAGCTTTGCAACGCTTGAGATGCAGTTTGAACTCGCGTCACATGATTTTGTATCGGATGATGTTTAAAAGCATCTGCAACAAACAGAGCATCGCTGATCTAGCGGCAACTATTATGAAATCAATTCGTTCTATCGAAAAAACTCTGGAAGTCAAAAAATTTTGAAAAAAAAACGAGAACAAACTCACAATTGTCATTTTCAAGGCGACAATTTTTTAAAAAATTTTATCAAAAAAAGAGACCGACACCAGTTGAGCAGCAAAGATTCCCAATCTATTCTGTCGGTTAAACCCTTAGCCTCAGATTTCGCAGAGTATTCGAGAAAAAGAAAAAAGTTTCTAACTTTATCAGATTTTTGGTTTCTTTACCGCAATTATAAGAGTGAGGCAATATACTAAGTTAAAAGTTACTTTAAACGTTAAAATTTTTAAATTAACTCGAGCCTTTTTAAGTTTGTTCCGGATTTGATAAAAAATTGTTATGAAGCTCATGTCTTGTAAATTTTTCAGTGGACTAGTTGGTAGCATTTATCTGTAGTTTTATTGTTTCAGCTATAGCATGCGCAAAGAAAACTTAAAGCTGATATATAAATGTTCTTTTTGTTATTATTGTCTCTTTACGTTATTTTTTTTTGTTTCAGCTATAGCATGGACGGAGAAAACTAAAAACTGTAAAATGTTTTTTTTTTGTAATAGTTGTTTGTTTACGTTATGTTGAAGTTCATTTAATTCAGTTTGGGTTTTTTTTGCTTTTGTTTCTCGGCTGATTTACCTGAAATTATATCTTTTCTTCCTGGAATACTGCCGATGTAACGTTTCGGAGACAGGTGGAGCTTTGCAACATTGTCGATACAGTTAAAATTTGCGTGAACACAATCTATTTGAGAAAACGAACTTTCCGAAAAACGGTGAGGCTGATCTTTAAATAACGCTCCATTGATTGCATCCTCTATCTCAGATTTGTTAAAGTAGTTTCCAAGAAAACGTAATTAGTCCAAAATTTTGATCAAAATTACCTCTTATTTAAACTTCGGTGAATCTCGAGAAAAAAAATATCTGCCAAGTGAAAATTTTTTTTTAGGCGTTTTAAATTAATTCACGAAATGTATACCATAAGATTTCATATTTTACCAAACAAGAATTAGCCACCAATGCGCAAGATACAAAATTTAATGCTCGGGAGCAAAGGTAAAACCAAAAAAAAAGTTGCAAAGAAGTCACACTTAATGAGCACCATTATCTGCCATTTAGATTGGGAAAACACTAGATACTGTCATATGACACTTAGCTCCGAGTGTGTAAAAATCTTATTTTTAATGACTTATCACTACTTAAGCTAGCTAAAATTTAGCATTTCAAATACTTATGTTGACTTGGCCGATATGACAAACCGGAACCAGTTTAACCGAAAAAAAATAACTTAGTTGGCGAATAAACAAACTACAGCTTAACTTTCAAATGTAGAAAAAATGTGTGAGCCTAAGAAACTACTGATAAAGCGTAAAAGATAAAATCCATTGCTATCTGGAAAACAGATTAGACTTTTGGATTATAACACGAAAATTTTCTAGCGTTGAAGATTAAATACGTAATTAATTTCGAGCTCATTGTTCTGACCCGACAGTGTGAAAGATGGAGAGCTCGATATTCGGGTTTTGTTCTACACGCACACCCAGGTACCAGGAAGATTACGAGGAATGGTTCAGGTGAGTTATCAACTTTAGGCCTGTTTAGTCGTGATTCGAACATTGAAAACTTTTCAAAAATTCGTCACATTAGTGAGACACAGCAGAGCTTTGCTCCACTTCCGATACAAAAAAAAATGGCTTGACAGCTAGGTCAAAAAAAATCGAATTAAAAAAAAGTTGAATTGAAAAATATTTAAGAGAATTTTTTCATCGTAAGTCTGGAAAGCTGGTGAATTTAAGAAAAATTAGACTGCCATTGTGAAATAAGCATTAAAACAAAGTTCACCAAGATGATACTGAGCAGATAAGACTTGGGTAGAGGACTGGTGAGCCAAAAAAAAACATTGAGCTATAAAGTTTTTCAATCCGTTTCGAATCCTCTTATTTAGTTGTTGGTTTCCTTCCCTACCTCTACGCTACAGATCCATGATACCTTGAAGCTAAAGTGATATTAGTAATATAATAGTCTAGGTTAAAATCCTTAGAACTGGCTGTTCTTAATAGCTGGATCAAAATGATTATTTTGTCGCAACAATATTTGCGACTTAGATTGGAAAAAATGACAGTTCATACTATAACACAAGCTATGGTTGTTTGTGTAAACAGATCTTCATTAGCCGAAACACTTTAAGCCGAAAAAAAAACGGTGAAAAAAGCGAAAAAATACCAAGTGAAAAATGAGTTGTAAATCACATCATTGACTTACAATCAACAACAATTCGATTGGAACCTTTTAAAAGGCAGACATGATCATAAAAGAATCTATTTACCGCTATTCTGTTCTGTTGCTATCAGCTACCTTGGCTGTGGCTAACAGCCGAGCTAATTGCTTAAACTGATTTTGTTACACTTGTTAACTAGATAAAAGTCTGTATTCCAACTTGATAAAGCTTGCTAATTGCAAGCCAAAAAATATTTTTAACTTTTAAGGACTGGGTAAGTTTACAATAGCATGTGTTAATAGTTTAATTTCAGTTTTTTTACGCTATTATTCAACTAGCACAGAAAATTCCGCCGATAGTCTTAAAAAGTTTTTCAAATTAATCGTCTTTTCTGCGTAGAAAGATGAAAGTATCCGAACGAAAAACTAGAACCTAAAAACCAGTAAATTAGAAAAATTTCTGTGAAAACTGACATTTTTTGTTTGTTTTTCTAGTCAGTTTTCACATAAATTTTTCTAAATTACTGGTTTTTAAGTTCTAGTTTTTCGTTCGGATACTTTCATCTCTCTACGCAGAAAAGACGATTAATTTGAAAAACTTTTTAAGACTATCGGCGGAACTTTCTGTGCTAGTTGAATAATATCCGGCTCTCGTTTACTTGGCAATCGATGCGTATTGATACTTCAAAAACAAAAGCTTAGCAAGTAGATTGTTTTAAGACCATGATATGAACATTGACAAAACCTTGATCATGAAAATAGCCGTTACTTACTAAAACAGAAAAAAAACAGAGCTTTATTGCAGTTATTTAATCAGTTAAAATATAGAATGAGTAAAAATTGTTGAGTTGACAAGTTTACACCTAATTCTGATCTTTGGGTTTCTCAATCTTCTCAATTATTCGCATAAACTGGTTCAAAATCCAGATTTTCTCGTTTTCAAATCAACTCAAGAGTTAGGACACCAAATATTTCCATGTGAGTCGGGCAACGTATCGTGGTTCTCATTCACAATCCATGGTTTATCGTTTGGTGAGTACTTTTGCAAGGGATAGTCAAATGGCAACAAGCTCGTGCTCATTTTCTGGTCGCTCTCTTGTGGAGTGAAGAGCACTCCAAGTTCGTATGATCTGATCATCAGTTGGGATCCGTTTTTCTCCAGCAAACCCCATGCCGCCTTCGATAAATTGGCACTCGTGAGCAGAAGCCACTTCAGGTGCTGAAGATACATAAAATGAAACACAATCACAATTTATGCCTAAATTCAATTTAAAAATGCTCAAATAAGCTGAAAATGAAGCTAACGTGCGCAGACTTAAGAGCTTTACTTTCAATTGTAGCAAATGGGGATGACACATTGCTTAAAACAATTTGATCGGCAGCGTCTTAAATTTTCAAATGACTGTTATATAGAAAGTTGCAAAAAGTTCGGACAGACAAATAATTAAAAAGAGCAATCTGCCAATTTTGAGCAATTTTTGCATGCAAATTTGAAAATTTAGGCGACACTGAGACATATTTTTTGTCTGAAAAATCAGCTTTTGCATGCAAAAATTGTCTGAAAAAAGACATTTGCTCTTTTCAATTATTTTTGTCTGTCCAAACTTTTTGCTAATAATTATACTGAAATCTCATTTTCAAAATTCTCCTGGAAACAGACTGAATTCATGTCTCAAGGTCACCAAAAAAACTCAAATTTGCATGCAAAAATGATTAAAATTTGGCCGATTGCTCTTTTTACTTACTTCCGTCTGTTCCAACTTATTGCAACTTCCTACAATAAGTTTCATTCAACTACGGAATGTACTTTTCAGTCGACGAATCATATTAAAGCTAACTAAACTATAACTGTTCATTGTGCCGTCAAAATCCCTTTCCCGGGCTGACGTCCATTCAAGAAAAATGCTTATCATACAGTTTCATATGAGGAGTCTATGGAAAAAATGATTATCATAAAATCTGATAGTATGGAAAAAATGCTTATCATACAATTTCATTGTATAAAAGAAAGTATAAAAAAATGTATAAAAGACATTCTTTTGTACAATGAAATTGTATGATAAGCATTTTTTCCATAGACTCCTCGTATGAAAACAAGCTTATTTCACACAACTTTTGTGATATAAAGTATGGCAAAAACTTCTTATTTAATTCCAGAGTGTGGCAAAAAAATGCCATAGAAAGGAAAACAAGAAAGGAAAACAAAATTTCATAGAAAGGAAAACATGCTTATTTTGCTCTGTTTATGCAATTTTTTCAGTCTATGAAACCGTATGAAACTGACAAGCATTTTCGATCAACCCGGGTTTTCATTTACTTCAGTACAAAAAAATCTTTCAAGCTAAAAACCACTGATTAAGTTGCAAGGTCACCGATAAACTCATCTATATTTCGAAAACTTGATACGTTGTCCAATTAATAAATTATTAAAACTAAAAGTGACATTAGTGGAAACTTAATCCAAATTTTCAAAATTATGTTCGCATTCTTTCTGAGCAACTTCAAGGCAAAAATTTCATTAAAAACTACCGCGCCTTAGTCGGAGCGAAAAAAAACGCCTACCTTGCTGACAAAAAGCTCCAAAAGAAATTCAAGACATTTGACTGAATACGACTAAATTTTATCGAAACTTTCTAAAGGTTGCCCTATAACCTTGCTTAGAACTATATGATTATACTCACTTGATTGTCACTAGAGATGGCAGCGTATGTTTTGATGTGAGGACATGCTCTGGACCGCCCTCTCCTCACACTCATCCACCTGTGCATGAAAGAAGTGAGCCACGGCTGCTTATTAGCCACCTGAACAGAAACTACTCAAATCTTGTTCACTCAAATTACGCAGATGTTGTTAAATTTAATCAGTAACAAAGAATATAGAAAGCGGGAGTATAAGTAATAACACAGAAAAGGCTACGAATATTGCAGCACTAAATATTAGTGGGGAAACAGTGTCGGAGCCAACTGTACTGTCTGCTCCCCTTAATAATTTATTTTGCAACAATAGCTTCGAAACTTGCCTAAAGTATCAACAACACTGATCAATGCGACGGTATGGAACCTAGTAACCACTCAATGTATTTGTTCAGCTGCTCTTTAAGAAATAGTTAATGTGATTAAAAAATTGAAACCAAAACATACCGCCGATATTGATGAACTAAGTAATGTGCTCCAGATAAAAAGCTGCAATAAAGTTGCTCCTTACCTAACGTATCTTTCAATTATCAGTGGTGCTTTCCCCGATTCTCTAAAATATGCAAAAGTTTAAGCTTTCAATCAATCTAAGAGTAAACTAGACCTGAGTAACTACCGCCCCATTTCACTTTTAAGTAGTTCCAGCAAAATTGATGATTAGGTAATGCGCTGAAGGTTGTTTAATTACCTAGAAAATTTTGGAGTCCTCTATGAACGCCAACTCGGTTTCCGGAAAAAATTGCTTTAATTGATGCTCTAGCTGAACTAGCCAAAAAGTCAGGTGTAGATGAAAATAATAAATGCAGTCTTATCAAAGATCTAAAAAAAACTCTTGATACACTTGACCACAAAATTCTGCTCAAAAATTAGATAGTAATGGGATAAGAGGCATATGCAACAATTGATTTGAAAGTTATCTATCTGAACACTATCAGTGCGTTTTCGTGAATAATTGTCAATCTGATTCGTTGTCTGTTAAACCGGGAGTCCACCAGGGATCAGTCCTCGTTCTTCTCGTTTATTAAATATACTTTAACCATATGCTAAAGATCGCATCACAATTGAATGTTTACATTTTCGCGGATGACACCAACGTTATTTGTGACAGCTCAGTTTTTAAAGTTTTCCAGGATGATTTATCAAATATGACAGTATGGCTTCAATACAAAAAACTAACCTTAAATTCTGATAAAAACAACTCTGGTAGGTTTGAAAAGAAACCGAAGTACTTCTAATTTCTTTGTTGAGCTTCAAACTGATACAATTTACCCTAAAGTTTCGGGCGAATATCTCGGTGTTAGTGTAGACCAGAAACTTACCTCAATCAGTCACAGAGAAAAAAAAACAAATCAAAACTAGGTCGAAATTGCGGCGTTATATCGAAAATGAGACACCATGTACCGAAAACTGTTTTGCTCAAAAATTTTAACTAAAATATTAAGCCAATTATTCAATATGGCTTACTTGTGTATGGAGGAACAAACTATGAACCACTAAATTCAATCTTACTGCGCCAACGTTAAATTATAAGAAAAAATTATTTCAAAAAAAATTTGAAGCTATTACCGAAGCTTTTTACGACAACAAAATTTTAACACTCCAAGAACTGTATGTATAAAATTTGCTTCAATTTTGCATTCAATCTGTAAAGAGCTAACATTCTAATATTTTCTTATTTTTTTTTCAAAAAAATCGTTTTCATAAAACACGAAAGTCAGGAGTGCCCACTTATGTGCATCCTTTTTGCTAGAATAAAAGTAAAGCATGCTCATTAACAAATAGAGGTGCCAGGCTGGTGAATATTTGAGTTACTTCGAAAACATGTCGGAAAAAGATCAATATAAACTTGCCCAATTTCGATCAACAAAAATAAACTTGCCCCACCAATTGGTTAGCTTGTGAAAGTAACATAATTTTGTTAACCTGTGAACTGTAGGGTAGACATGTTCCGCCTGCATATCCTTCTAGACTGCATCTGACATCATCCACAGAAGGAAACACCAGCTTCAACTCTGCCCTTTGACTCGATCCTCCTGTTTAACATCCAACACACTATTATTCTTAATCCGCAGCAGCACACCGCTGTAGGCGCTTTCATTTGAAAGGTCTACAGGCAGCTATCATGCGACAATCACTACAGAGACACGCGACAAGCAAAATAGTGCCAAGTAAATAAAAAATTTGCATGTTTATTTGAGTCCAATAGGCTGTAGAGCACATAAATGCTAGTTAAGGATTATTACAAACGGTACGAGTTCGAAAACCTATGCCAAAACTTTGCTGTTAGATCTGTAACATTAATTAGTAATTATAGTTTGGAACTATATCAACAAGCACGTGAGGCTGAAATTTCGCTATCTTCTTTCATAGTGTTCAGTTCTAGCACGCGCATTATCCAAAAGCAGCGAGTGTAAACAGTACCGATGCGATGACTCACTTTGAGGCGACAGGCGGGGGGAAGAGAGACTATGGAGGAATTCGGAGGTGAGCCACTTGTCCGCAGAGGCACCCAGAGACCCGATCGAGCTGAACTGGGCCACCACTGACATTGAGTCAGTCTTCTCCGTCGATATATGCCCCTTATTCTAAACAAGACCAGACAGTTGGAAAAGAGTAATGGAAACTGAAAAAAACTGACTTGATTTTTCAAGAGCCTTCAACTTTTGAATTTCAAAGAAAAAAAATAGATGGCCTTAAAGCTCTTTGAATTTATAGAACAATTTACGATAGAGACATTTTTGTCAAAACTTAACCCAATTTGAGAAAAATGGATCAATACGTAAAACATCTATTTCGCTGGGAAATCTGATTATTAATTTACATTTTCGAAATCAGAATTCGATCACGTTTTTCGTGACTTTTACACTTTTGCTGTTCGATAGTGAAGTTTGCCTTCCTTTAACAATGGAAATTCACAGATAGAAAAGAAAAAAATGTATATTTTTCCGATAGGTAGTTATATTTATTTACAGAAGAAAAAATAAATCATAAAGTTCTTATCGGAAGTGACAACTAACGAGACCATGAGAGTCTACTAACAGCTGCTCTTGAAAAGCAAATGGTATGGTAGATGCCTATAGTAGATAGCATCATGAAAAATGTTTAATGCGTACAAACAGCGCTACAACCAATGTTTTGTCCCCAGATCCCACTGGCTGTACACTGACATCAAAATTTTTTGTTTTTTTTTGAAAATTTTTCTAAGTTTTGTTGGACAAAAATATTGAGAAATATCAAAAAAAAATCACAAACATCGTCATATCTCTAAAACTAAGAGACTCTGGAACGTCATTCTTTTCCTCATAATACGCAACCCACAGTCATTAACCCTATACCATTCAAAAATTACACACCTGAGAGTTGCCAGGTCGTTGTTGCTTAGCAGGTATCCATTTTTAAAGTTATTATAAAAAATCTTCATTTTCGTTATGATCGCAATTTCTTATCCTTCTTCCAGTTAGCCCCTCGTCTTAAGCAGATTCAAAAGCCTGAATATCCGTTGAATTACTGATTGCCTTTCAAAACGTTTTTTCCTAACTGTTTCTTTCAGCAGGTTTAATTCACCCCTACGAATTTCTTGTATTGGATTTTCAAACTGAATAAATTATCCACTCTGGAGATTATTTATCAATCGTAGTACTAATTTCAGTATGAAGCTCATGCACTGTTAGCAGTTGATTTTTCACGAAACTGTCTTCTGAGTGGTCACCACGTTTTCTAAAATATATCAATTTCAATATCTTTTTCTGTAGCATAAAAATTAGCAGCACGGAGGTAAAACTAAGACAACCTTATAAAAAGAATGCCATACTGGATGTTGTTTTGATGTTACTACGATAGTAAGCTAAAAGCTGATGTCGAGTTGCATAAAAACGTAGCTTTGAAATAATGCCTGATTGTTTTGCTAATCGCATTTTTACATGGTCTACATGGGACACAAAAGATGGTTTTTAATCAACGTACACCCCCAAATACTTACAAATCGGTTCAGTTTTTATATCACAAATGTTTAATTGAAAAGTCATCGAACTGGAGGACTTTAAATTCATTTGTACTGTTTTATCCATATTTATAATCAGTTTATTGACATTAAGCCAATTATTCAGTTTAAAGATGTCCTCATTAATCAAAGATTCTGCTTTTCCCAATCCAGTTTCATTGGTGTCAACCGCAAAAAGAACAATTTCAGACAATTTACAGACATGAGGTAGGTTATTTATGAAAATAAGAAACAGTAAAGGACCTAAAAAGATCCTTATGATTCCAATGCCTTATGATTCCAATGCCTTATTGTAATAAAAGGGGATGTTCTATTGTATCAAATGCTTTTTTTTCAAATTAAAAAAGTAATTTTATTTTGCTTGTGGCATGACTGCATTTTTTCAGTAAAATCAACAAGTGCGTCAATCGTAATTTGCTTCGCTCTGATTGTCGGCAAACAGTCAGAGAAATTTTCGTGATAATTGTATTATATAGTGAACATGGTTCTTTCAAGGATTTTAATCAGACAATCAAGAGCAATATTGGTCAGTAATTGTTTTCATCAACCCTAGATCCCTTGTTGTGATAATTTTTGCTCTTTTTAATCTATCGGGGAAAACGCCTTACAGGAGGGATTTGTTAATGAGCGAAGTTAATTAAGGAACGGTAGCAGGTGCCGATTATTTAACCTAACATGTTGTTGATCTTGTCATATCCCGATGATGATTTATTATCGAGATTATGGATTATTGCCAGAAGATCGAGCTCTGTTACTGTATACAAAAAATACAGAAGGCTCAGCTTGGCTCAAATATGTTGATTGTAGACAACCCGTGTTCTTTTTAAGGTCAGTGCCAATTTCTGAAAAAAAACAACTATTGCATTTTTCAGCAACATCAAATGTTAATGAGTATTGCAGTGCTGCAGACACGATTCCAGTATTGGCGCATCGGTATAATTTATGTTTTTTTCCCGCTTAAAACATTTAGTAGTTTAAAAAAACTTTTAGACTCCTATACAAGCAGAAAATTTCTAATGATTGTATTTTCTTTTTGCCCACTTTATTTCGTTTTCCAGCTTCACTCGCAATTGTTTGAAATTATCTGGTAAAAATAGGTTGTTCGGTTGATTTTTCCATAACTGCACTCCGTATTTGTGTTTATTCGCATGGGTGCATAATATGTAGTAATTTTATTTAAACTGCGGCAAAATTGTTAAATGACGAAGAAGGGTCAGAATTATAGTAAACTGCAACTTCAATTTCTTCTAATTAGGATTGCAAATCGCTATATACATGGCAGGTGATTGTTTATCTTTAACAAATTGTAGGTCACGAAAAGATTGATTTTCCCCGTTTTTATTTAAACTAGGTTGAGTCCAATATAATAGGATCGGACAATGATCGGAAAAACTTTGGTACTCTAAAATATGAGGATCCATTTGATTTAAATTTAATGAAAAAATGAAATGATATAGACAGGTATTTAATGTTTCAGTAACTTTTGTACCACCTATTTTAAAGTCATTAGAGAAAATACAGCTCAGTTAGTTTTTGGATAGCTGATTAATGTTAAAAATATCGATATTATAATCACCACAGATCATAAATGGTAACGACGGCGAAGTGTTATCTTCCAGAAAATCATCTAAATGATCGATAAAACCGTTTTCGTTCATTATAGAAGAGTTGTACATCTCGGCAACTTTAAACTGATAGTTATCTTTTTCAATTGTCACTACAACGCATTTCTCGATGCGAGTGGGTATTGATTTCAAAAACTTAAAGTCAGAGCGTATTTGTATCATAACGACACAAACACGTTTTTCCGATAGTAAAATGCGAATTTATTATAGCTGTCAATGAGACAGCATTTACAATCATCATTTTCTGTTAACCAAGTTTCTGATAAGCATAAAATGGAAGGCGGAGACTCAAAACTGTATACTAATGCTTCCAGATCTTAAAGATGACCTTTCAGAGAGCGAACATTCATGTGTAGAAAAGAAAATTTTCGTTTCGGAGAGGGCCTCCACTTGGTAAAAAAAAACACCAGTAAAGCAACTCAAAACATCATCAAAACTATAATCAAGTAGATGACCGCCTTCATACAGCCCGGTTATTTTTTTTTGGTATAATTATCATTTCTGTTCTGGAAGAAGACACTTTCCTCTTTGGAGCAAGCCGCCGCAATTCGCTTGTCAGTTTTCATCAGTTTGAGGAAATTGAGTCTCGCCTCTGTTAAATCTTCGAATATTTCAACATCTGTTCAGTTGGCGCTTCTTTTTCAAGAGATCCACTTTTGCAACTCGACAAAAACAAACAATGATGGTTTTTTTTTCGACCCGGTGGTCGATAGGCAATTGATATATCCGGCTTGGTGATCTTTGCTCCAATCTCATTTGCAATGTTCAGTACTTTATTTGTCGTCTCTTCCAATGATTCATGGCTCCCAATTTCCGCGTTGATGGCTATTCCGATAACGAGAACATTTTCCCTTCTGTAGTAGCTTTCCAACAACTCGGCTTCAGATAGGCTTTTGAGGTTGCAGCAACTTTCTTGGGAGCATAGCTGTTTTTTTTTACTTCAGAGAGAACTTGTTTCTTCATGTCTTCTGTAGCACCATTGATCATATTTGCCATTCACTCTTTCATCTCATGTTTCAGATTATATCGTTGATCGATACTTTGATGGTTGTCTGGATGAGCTGCACTAGGTTGTTATCCTCTGAAGTTTCCTGTTCGATGGGACTCAGAACTGTACATACTCGTTTGTGGCTCGACTCAGAACTGTACATACTCGTTTCCAGCTCGACTTTGGGTGTCTGCCCTTCGTATTTTAGCGTGGAAATATTGTCTACGGCTTCGAAATGGGTTTCTGATAGGGTGTTTGAATGGGTATCAGGATTTGAGACATTGTTGGATTGAATATCAGTCATGATCATTTACAGCTTCCGAAACTATTTAATAACTTTATCTTACAATTAGGCTAACTTTACTTAAAAGAAATCACAAGTCAAACCGCAAAAAATCAATATTGAGCGTCAAAAAATTTTTAGAATTTTTCCTGAAAAAAAATCAGCAAGACCTATATAAGAGTACTCACTAGGTTCATAACTCTTAATAACGATTTTCTTTGAATCAATTCAAAAAAAACTAAAACTATGTTTAAAATAAAACTTTTAACCTGCTCTAAGAGATTTCTCAACCTCATGTGTCCCCATTTTTGAATGGAATCACCTGAAAATCTGCCTGGAACTGACCCGACCAATCGCACCTTCACAGCCGAACAATCGTGGCTTTTTACAGTTTCAATCCAGCTATTCAAAGAATTCAATTTGTATGCCCGCAAATAATCTAGCAAGTCGTGTTGAAATCTATTTCTCGATTCAGAATTGATTGTAGTTGATGAACTCGTAGTTTCTGCACTACTTGACTGGTCATCAAGCGGAGGTAAAAGTGGACTGGTCCAGACGCCCTGAGTCTTTTGAGCCCAGTCATTTGGAACCATGTTGGCGGTGTGTATTACAACGCGCAATCCCTCGCCTGCAACAGACGGGTGTCATTTCGTTTTATTCAATGAAAAGATGGACCAGCCAGTACAGCTTTTTTCTCCTTAAGTTTTCATGAATGGAAAAAAATCATTAGCTTCAATGGTAGATTATCACAAGAAGGCTGTTTCTTTTCGATTACAAAAATTGAATGAACACTAAAAAAGATAGAATTCTCTTCTGGTTCGTTTACAACTTCAACTAGCGGCCCAGCTAAAATAAAGGGTACCTGTTTGAAAATTTCAAACTGGTTGTAATGATGCAGGATGGAATAGGTAATTTCAATAAGTTAAAAACTGGGCTTCACCTAAAACCTTGGTTGTTGCTCTATTAAAACATGAGTGAAAATTTTAGTGATTTTGGAAATTTTCCCAAGCATATTTTTTGTACAAATTTTAAGGCGTAGCATCTTATGCACTGAGGCTTCCCGCATCATTTTGCTTCGATTAAACACATGATATCAGATTGAGCTGTTTTCGAGCAGCCAAAAAATTTCAAAAAACGGACAAAAAACCAAAACATTGAATTTGAAAGGCCACAAATTATTGTGAAAGAAAAATTGACTTGAACGCTTACACAGAAGAGCTTCGCACAACCCTTTCTCTTTAAAATGAAACCAAAATCTCATATTTGGCGAAGCAGTTTCCAAGACAATTAAAATACCTGCAAAAAAAGGTCGAAAACCAAAAAAATTAATTTTTCCGAGGATCACAACTTTTTCAGTAAAAAAATTGGGCATAACCGTTTATGCACTGAGCTTTTCACAAATCACTCTATCCTATGAAACCAATATCTCAGATTCGGGAGGCTTGTTTTCGAGAAAAGTTTTAAAAAAATGAAAAATAACAGCCAAGAAATTGAAAATTTTACTTTTCCGAGGGCGAATACTTTCCGTGTAAGATAATTTGCTCGTATCGGCTTATGCAGGAAAGCCTATTCCAACCAGTTCACTTATTGAAATCAATATCTCAGATTTGGTAGGCTAGTTTTCGAGAGAAGTCAAAATAATAGAAAAACAATCAAAAAGTCACAGAAATTTTTCTTGTTAGAAAAATTGGGCTGATCCGCTTAAATAGAGGAGCTTCCCATAACCCGTATTTTCGATTGAAATCGAAAACTCAGATTTGCACGGGCAGTTTTTGAGAAAAGTCAAAAAGTTTCAAAGGATTCGAAATTTTTCCGATGGTCTAACTTTTTTTGTAAAAAATTGGCCGTAAACGGGCCGCGCTCATAAAGGAGATCCTTCCACAACCCGTTCCACCCATTGAAACCAAAACCTCAGATTTATGAGGGTAGTTTTTGATAGAAGTTTCAAAAAACGGTAAAAAACTCTAAAATTTGACATTTCCGAGGGTCATAATTTTTGAGTAAAAAAAAAAGGTTTGTAACCGATTATGCAGGCAATCTTTTTACAACTCGCTCCAACCGTTGAAACCAAAACTTCAGATTCTGGAGGATAATTTTGGAGAAAAGTCAAAAAATTTCAAAAAACGGTTAAAAAATCGAATAGGCTTAAAAAATCGGTTAAAAATCGAGGGCTATAATTTCTTGTGTAAAGAAACTCAAGGCCCAGCTAAAGCTGGAGGTGCCTGATTGATAATTTTTGAATATTTTGACTGATACAGATGAAGTAGATAATTTCAAAAATTTAAAAATTGGGTTTTACCAAAAACCTTTGTTGTTGCTCTATTAAAATATGCGTGAAAAATTTTTTGATTTTGGAATTATGCCAGAAATATAATTTTTAGTACAATTTTTATGGCATAGCATCTGATGCAAGGAGGCTTCACACAATCTGTTGCCTCGATTAAATCCTTGATATCAGATTGAATTATTTTCGAGACAAGCAAAAAGCGGTCAAAAAACGAAGAAGTTGACTATTCCAAGAGTCATAACTTTTGTGTGAAAAATTTGGGCATAACCGTTTATGGAGGTGATCTTCCCACAACTCCTTCTCCCATTGAATCCGAAATTTCAATTATGGGAGCAGGTGCGGATCTAGGATTTTCTCGAGGTGGCGGATTTTCAAACAAACTTCAAAAATTTTCTCGACCTTTTCTTTTGGGTCGACCAAATTGATTTTTCCAGCCCTCTCAAAACGATAAAAAAAAGACCCTGTTTTGGCCACCAAAATTTGTGCCGGAGGCAAAATTTTGAAAAAAAAAGGCCAGAAAAGGCATTTTTAGGCGTTTTCGAAACATTTTGACCAAAAAACGCGTTTTTTCTGCGCGCTCCCACACACTTTTTCGAAGGCTGAAAGGTAAAAGCAGCTTTGAGGATTAGACAGGCACACAGCGGAATGGGCGGAATTCTCATTGGTACCATTTTTCTGAAAATCAGTAGAATAGTTTTTGAGAAAAACTAAGTTTTAGAGAACAAAATTTTTTGAAAGAGAAAAAATTTTCCAAAGCGTTTCAAAAAAAAAAATCTACACTAAAAAATTGATTTTTTAAAAAACCTGTTTCTATAAAACAAGAATTTTCATAATACCGGTTTTTTTTATCAAACAGAAATCCTATCAACTGTTTTTTTTTGATGAAATTGCTTGAAATGAGGACTGTAATGGACTAAAATAAAAATTGTTTCATACAACATGGATTAGACTTGTTTTGAATCAGCATTAGATCGCAAATCAGTTCTGAAATCATGACAGAAAATGAAATGAATACCTACTGAACAGGAGTAACATCATCTTCGTGTGATGTGTGCCATAGGGCATTGGCAGAGAAGCTTGTGCCAATGAGATGTTGGGGTAATTCACACACATTTCATGCAACTGGCCTAAATCAGCAGCGCACTAATCAAACCATCACCTGCTTACTAATAGCTTCTATTAGTAAAAATACTTCTTGATATATTGGATGCTTCTGTTAAAAATACCAGATGATATTTTAAGTTGCCGATGCTTGCTTGATAAAATAACCGTCCAAGCCTTTCTAGTTTTCGAGATATCGCATTAGCTCGAGAAGTTTGATAAATTTTTTGAACACAAACTCCTTTTAATCTTAGATTGCAGTTTCGCATCGAAATACGTCTATAAAAACTTATAAAAAAGAACTATTGAAACCAAAAAAAAAAAACAGTTTGGCTGCATATGACGTAATATAATATATAGTCTTTTTTTATACACAGTAACAAAAACTAAACAACAGATGAACTGTATCTGATAGATTTCAAAAAACTTTTTGAAATCAAAATAAACGTTGTACATGCAATTGCTTTTTAAATTTAATATTTTCAAGAAATTAGGAGTTTGCAGCTTTTGGTAGTTTGGTAGTTGGCATTTTTGCGGATCTGGGTTTGTAAATGTTGTATGGACAGCTGAATAAATGATAATCGTCGTGTGGCCCTAGATTGCAAACAGAGCATATATTTGCCTATTTTTGGTCGAATCTGTAGTTTTTTTTTCTTCTCGAAAATTCGCTGCAGATATGGTAATTCCCAAAACTTACTGGGATGGCTTTTAAAGTAGTCTGTCAGTTTTTGCATGCAAGTGCTTCCCGTAATTTTTTTCGTTGCTTTCACTCTACGGATTTTGGATTTTCAATTTCTTTGATTTGCACGCTCCGGAAGATGGCTTCCTAGAAAGAACTAATCGGTAAGCATTCCATTCTCGAAGAGGGAGAAGTCCGGGTTCATTGTGTAAAAAAATCTATGTTTGTGATTTTTAGACAGTCAGTTCTAGTTGTAAGTAATTGTTTTTGTTTGATTTCAAGTTTCGACCAGATGGGTGCGGCGTAGTTTATCACACTACAGCTGAATGCATCATGTCTGGTGTTTCTCTGAGCATCCCTCTTCATTACTTTAGTTTCGTACCATTCAATTTTTTTGGGATATTGTTACTGGACTCAATTTTTGCGCAAAAAAAAAGTTAAATGTTTTTCTTCCAAACTTGAATATTTTATGGTTTGTAAAATTTTTATTCTTGCAGTTGGGATTTTTGCAAGAATTGTATCGCAGTTGGGTGCTGATAATGATGAAACTATTTCATAAGATAAATCCAGTCCCAGTTTTCAAATCATCACTTCACCGGTAAAGAAGTGGAGCAATGAACACAAGCTACATTTGAAAGTGAAAAAAAAGCTCACACATTTTTGCCAAACTCGAAAAAAAACATGTTTCTTTTGGTAAAACCATAGATAGACAGAATATACAGAAAGAGCTGGGCATTCATATATCTCACGCCTTTAAATCGAAATCTCATTTCAGGTAAGCAACAAGTAAAAAGCTAAGTTCTATTCATGTTGAAAATAATCTCAACGAAACTGAAACCAGGGAAAAAATTACAGCTAAACAAATTACAGCTAAATTCTCTCTCTCTCGCTCTAGCAAAAAAAAACCCGATCGTTGAATTTCTAACAAAATTCCGCGTCTATCCGACGTCTAGTCCTAGTTGCTTTTGCTGCTCGCATACATTCTATTGAGGATCGCACAAAGGTAGCTGACTTGAGAAGCTTGCCCTCCAAAACTCGCATACAACTTCCTTGAGCGCGTTTAAGCTTTTACATAGTCTGACTTTCTGTTGTAGGCTCAGCGAGTGTGGTTAATTTCCCTAGATTACGAGGTGAACCAGAATGAATAATTCGCGATAGGTGAAAAGCAAATGTATCAAACAAAAATGAATAAAAAACAATTTATTTAAAAATAAACTGCGGGTAAAAGATATAAATTATGGAAAAAAACATGCCTTAAAATTTCAACAAAAAATTCCAGCGAGCCATCCATACATTAAGACAATCATTCGTCCATCTAACACTCCATTTAGCAAACCATCTGGCCAGCAACCCAATTATTCAGCCATCCCTCCGTTTATCCAGCCATTCAACCAGTCATTCATTCATCGTTCTATCTAGTTAACAACCCGTCCATCTAGCCAACCATTATGCAAACATTTATACACCGATCTAGTCATTTAATTATCCAACCATAAAAAAACTTTCAACCATCCATTCAATCATCCAGACATTAATTTGTCAATACGTCCATCCATCCATCTAACCACCACGCAAACATCCTTCCACCAATCTATCTAGTGATCCAAACAAACGGCGAGCCATCTTGGCAACGATCTAGCCCTTCAATTATTCAGCCAAATATCTATATGATGATTCATCATATCACCTATCTATCAATGAACCCTTTCATTCAGCACACATTGCAATCCACCCATCAAGCCCTGTATCCATCTAGACAGCCATCCATTCAATCATTAAGCCATCGATACCTCTGGAAATTCATTCAACCGTCGCATCTAGCAAGCAATCCATTCAGTCATCACTGCATTCATCTAATCATCGACTCAACCAGACATCCATTAACCTTGCCAGCCATTTCTATATCGAGCCTCCCATCTATAAGCGCATCGAACCAGCCATTCATCCGACTGACCGTCTAGCCATCCTTAATACATCCATCAGCCATCCGACTACCACTTAGTCCAGCCATATATCAACCTAGCCATCCACCCAACATAGAGCCACCCATCACTACGTCCAGTTATTCATCCATCAATCCATATATTCGACAAAACTTCCAACCAGTCCTTCAAGCTTTTTTCTCGCAAAACGGAAAAACATTGTCGTTATACAGGAGCAGCTTTACCGGCAGTGGACCCGCTTCTTCTATTTACTTAGAGCCCACAGTCTGTAGGAGAATAACTTGCGATAGCTTGAAACTGAACGCATCAAACCAACAAAAGAATTAAGATGAAGTTACCTTACGCTGTTATTAGCTTTTCACCGTGACTAAATCATCCTATCAATTAAAACATGCTTGGTAAAAAAAACGGGTGTTGTAAACTTGTCAGGCCTAACTGCGGTGAAGGTGGAAGTTTGGGAAAAGTTGCTGAATGAGAAGGCGAACTGATAGTTTACTGTGACCCTCGGGTGGCTAAAGTTGCATGATGCAGCCAATGATTGTGTGGTGAAAAGAAGAGAGCGAGTGGGAACATTGTTTTCGGAAGTGTAGAAAGGATGCATTTGGGAAGACGAGCAGGATGACTGACCATAGTTTTTGATTTTTTCATCCGTTTGTTTTTTTAACTCTTCAAATTTTATAGCTTCATATTACCTGTTGTAACTAACAGTACTTTCACTAGACTATGATTTCCCGCCTATACATTTTCCACGATTCCAAGTGATGATGATAAAGGCGTATTTTCATCATCGGTTTTGTATCCTAGAACTCTTTTTTTTTCGAAATTTCTTTGTTTTACAGGGTCCATTTTGCGTTGAATATACAATTGTATAGCGGTTGGAAACTCAAAGTCAATTTTTCAATTGCAAAAAAACAAGGTCCGGCCGAGACTCAACCCCAGACCTTAGAAGGGCTGATCATCAAACTTATGAATAAAAAACATTCAATTAAATGGAAATCGCACCAGCAGGAAGGTAAAAAAGCACGAGAAAAGAGGGAAACAAGAAAGAAAAAAGGAGCACCCAACGAAGAATGGAAAAGAAAAAAGAAAGAGATAAATGAATCAACAATAAACTGCACAGGTCTAAATGGCTCGACAGACTATCATAGTGGCGTTTTCTCCCATGAGGCACACGTAGAGGCTTTGGAGGAGGCGCACTGGAGAAACACGCGCGTCCATGGAACAAGTACGCCTAGTGTCAGCGAGAATAGCGGCCACTTTGAGTTTTGATGGCCACGGCGGACCAACCCTCGAGCGTTTCGACTGCAAACGGCAAGAAAGTGATTCCTTGGTCCTCGCAAAATTTCGGTCCTCAGAATTTCATGTGTTGATCCCGGGGTCTCCGCCGCATGTGAGAGAACTGCAACGGGGCTGTCACGGTGACGTCAAAAGCAGCTTAGCGACAGCATTCCAAGTAGGAACAAAAATGTGGCCGGTTTTGGACCGCTCTCCACGAATTAGATTCCGTTGCTCTTTGAAGGGAGCAAGAGGGGCAGCTGTGGTAGCGTTCAAATTTAACATCCCTTCGTCTGCCGTGACCGGAGATCCGGCCACGATTCCGTCCGCAAGCAAAAACGTCGTCCCCAAGGACGTCCAGATTGCCAGAAGGACATACTGGGCACCTACGAGCAGACGCGAACAGAGGGAGGCCAATGCGGTATTTGACGGCAGCTTGGAACTCAGCTGTAAGTAGGTACAAGCCGAGACCTTTCATGGTGACAGCTGTAAGCCAAGCACCGGCGTAGGGCAGAGAGCGACTGCAGCCAAGCTTGCTCGCGGGAATCTGAGAGATACAAGAAAGCGTTATAGGTGGCCTATTCGAGTTTTTCTTGGAACGTTTCTTGTGTAAAAGAGGATAAATAGGCGCTTCCGGACTGTTCACGGAAATCATTGGAGGCACGAACGAACTCTGGGGTATCGGCGATAACGCATTCGGTGAGAAACGAGACCAAATGAGCTGACTGGCACGAAGAACCAAGGAAAGCAGTGATGTGTTGGTCGCGGTCTTGCTGAACACCAAAATCACCATCCTTGATAGTCAAGGAAGACTGAGTCCAGGCGAGATCAGGAACAGATAAGCCAGCTATGACAGAAAAGGCATCGCGGAGGAGCTCATCAAACACCTGCAGGAGAGCTGCGACAGGCTGAGAAGGCAGCAGAAGCAGAGAGATTACGTCAGCTTGGGAGCAGCGAGGCAAGTGTGAGTGATGCCAAGGGAGAGTTTTGAGTCATCCAGAGTGTCACTTTTCACGGCGTTTGGTGGCTTTCGAGCTGCGCTTGCCCATAGCTTTAATTGATAACTCAGTATCACGGATGCGAGCACCAAATCACTCGAAACATCAGATGCGGCTCTCGGGATGGGAGCAGCAATTGTCAAAACTCCACATGTACCCAAAACTCAATTGCCGTGCTTGACTTTTAGGCCGAGGCGCAAGCATGGAAGGTGATAACTTCGAAGGCCTTAGCCAACTAGTCTACATCGCCGGCACAAATACCAGCAACAAGATGCCAGCAGTTAAGGGTGAAACCAGGGACTTCCGTCCCGAGAGTTTCGACACGGATGTGCAGGGTGACCGCAAAAATGGGAGGCTCTAGCGGGTCCCCCTGTTGAACTCCTGTCTCGCTGTTGAGATTGATATCCTTTAAAAGGAGACGACTTTGACGCCCGTAAGCAAACTCAACAAAGGCAGAGAGCCCAAGAAGACGACTGCGAACTTGAAAGAGAATTTCAGAGCTGTCTAGCGTGTTGAAAGCGTTCTCAAAATCAGACGTCTTGGTGACCATGTTAAAAGCACTTTTAGACAGTGATTTTCGTAGCGTGAAGGATGGCTTCTGAGTCACCACTAGAGGCGAATTCAAGCTAGTGAAGACACAGAAAAGCACGAGCTTCGGCACTGGCGGCTTCAGCCAGACACATAGCAGTGAGCCTTCGGGGTACTTCTCCGACTGCAATAGGCCTGACATCAACTTTGGGTTTAGCATTGTCAAAGAAATTGGCATTGCCAAGTAACCGAGAGACTAGAAAACGCTTTCGAGGCTGCGAGGATGTTTGCAAAGCTGTTGATAGACTCTAGCGTCGTAGCAGCAGTCCGAGGAATAGGGCATTCAACGGCGTGAAAAAGTTCTCAGGAAAGAAGCGCAAAGGACCAGCTGCCGTTCCGCTGGAGAAACGTTTGATAGCTTTATGAACATCTCAAACTGGAAGGCAAGAGGAAATTCATCCTGACTAGGAAGGACTGGAGAGTCGCCGACAGGACGAAGACTACGAAAATTATAAGCGACTCGTCACTTTAGGACACGAGGCCTTCATAGCACAGTGCTTCAGCTGCTCTACCAAGTTGGCTAAGACCTGCTACTTGTTTGCTCTGCGGATACTTAAGTAGGAAGAGAGTTTACCGTTTTTGTTCGTTCGCTTTATAAAGTCTTTCAAAACCGTTAGACCAAATGAGTTTTTGATACATCAAGGGAGCATGAACAGGCGAGCCCAGTTTTTCAGGTTTTCAGTTGCTAAGGCGCAGTTGTTTAGGGTGTGACAAACGAACTCTGACCACTCATTACGAAGGGAAATCGGGAAGAACCAGACCGTATCAACTCTCGAAGACATGGCATCAGAAAGATCCGGTACAGCGCTTTCAAGCTAGTGAGTGGTATCAGCCGATATCGTCATACTGGCCATCGTATGAGAGAGATCGAAACTAACAGGGGTATCAGGGGAAGTAGAACTCGCTAAAGTGACAGAGGTATGGCTGGAGACAGGAAACGCGAGTGGGTAGATTGGACCGCGAGATTCCCGCCTATACGAGCCTATCCATCGGGGAGCCGGAAAATTTGATCCAGGTTAGACCAGGAGTCAAAGCTCTTATTTCAACTACAAAAATGTCAGCAACAACAACAACACCGGTGGTCAAATGCGAGATAGCAACAGACGAGCTAACACAGACATCTGCTGGGTTAACAAATCTAGACAACTGAGGTCTCAACAGAGGGAACGGGATAACTTTCAATATCACCAGCACATAAAAAAGGAGCAATTAATTGTTATGAAACGGCAGATTTGAGTTGCGTTTGAATTATTGTGACCGCAGTTCAGAACGAGATAATTTTTCACGGAATGAGCATGATGGGTGAATATCAGAAAACAACGTTTATCAAATTTTGAATGCATCTTGTTCTGTATGTGTGGATACTATCCTCCTCAGAATAGATTTATTGTGTGTTTTTTGTTTGTTTTCTCTTTTCTTCATTTGACGTGTTTGGTGCTTTTTTGAAGCTCGATATTTTTGTGTTTTAAGATGCTGATGATGAGCGATAGCTCGAAAGTACTCATAATTTAACATTGATCAACGTTGTTTTCTGACAAAACGGGATAACTGGAGAACGATATAACTGGAGAACGATATAGCTGGAGAACGGGATAACTTTCAATATCACCAGCACATAAAAAAAGGAGCAATGAATTGTTATAAAACGACAGATTTGAGTTAAGTTTGAACTATTGTGACCGCAGTTCTTGTCGTGATTATGCATACGGTTTCTCGTCGGTCAGCAGCAGTAGGTGAGAACTGAGTAACCATTCGGCACACGATGGAGCGCTAAAGCTAGAAACACAGTCGAATAGGAAGAGACAAACAATTGCGTGGCTAACGTAGGCGAGGTCTCACCCAGAGGAGATAAAGTGGGCTGATGAGAAGAGCAAAAGTCCAGATCAGGCTGCGGTTTCCACACCAGGAGACCAGAATCCAGACCAGATCATAGATGGTTAGTGTTATTTTTGTACAGTTTTGTTGGGGGTCCGTGGTAGGGTGCCAAGCGCAGGTTCTAGTGGAGAGTTCGGCTGTAGGGGTAAACTTGATGAGCTTGTCTCTAAAATCCCGTCCTGGGCCTTCTTCTTAAAAGCGAAACAGAGATATGGGAGCATGAACAGGCGAGTCCAGTTTTTCAGGTTGTTGTCTTCTTATTATACAGTTGACAAGGGGATGAAACGATTTGGTTCAACTAGGCCAAATTTAAACCTTGACACTTTTCATTAAGAAAGATCACTTCCGTTTCCCTACATAATTGGCTAGCAAAATTGCTAATGATCCAATGACGATTGCGCTTTACGTTTCTTTATACCTTCCGCCTTAATATATTGAACTTCCCTCGCCGTTAATAAAGTCGTTTTCTACTACATTAGTCAATTAATTCATCAACTTAGCTGAAGAACAGAAAAGCTGAAGATTGTATTATTGACAAAAGCGCTTCTTTCGTCAGATGTACAAGAGTCGCTACTAATAATTATTACTTACTTTTTTCCCGCGATTGGAACCCATGTATAATAAGCAATGGTTTATTAATGCAACTCTCTGGATAATGAGACAAGAGCCATTGAATATCAAACATGTAATTAAAGTGAGCAGATGATTGCAAGCAAGAATGCAGCCTTAAGAGCTCAGCTAGCGTTACCGAATCTTTATTATCGGTTTTCTCAGGCAATCTTTCAACACGTGTCAGTTTAAAATGGAAGTTCAAACTAAGCGAATCGTAGTCTTCCAATTTTATGTTTTTAGCGGTTTGTGATGAATTTTCATTACACAGGCTTCTTTTAAATTTTTTTGTGTTCCCTGTTGGGTGTTTGAACTCTTGAAAGTGCGCGGGGTTTTGCCTATAACAGTCGGCTCCATATTTACACAATCGCTTCTCAATTTGCATTGCTTGATTAAATCTGAAAAAAAAAAAAACAATTTGATCAAAACGCGCCCTCCCGCGTAAATGTGGTCTATGTGCAAATGTTGAATATCACATTAACATTGAGGTGAAATGAGCAAATTTCATGATACCTATATTTAAAAAATCTTCTTTTACTTAAGATGTTTTCCTTTAAAAAAATGTTTTCCTTATAATGTACAAAGGTATGATAAGACCAAACCTGAGAATGCGTTAAAATTGTAAATTCAAACAAACGTTTTCGCACATTTTTGTGCATTGACAGTTGTACACCCACCTCCTATCTTGATGTGGACTTTGAAAAACAAACTCATTTGGAAATTAGTCCGTGATTATGCGTCCATATATATTAAATTTATCAACTGTAACCAACGTGTTAAATTTTTGAGAGTTTGTCTAGAAAACGACATTATTCCTAACTTTTGGAGGTTCAGGGTACCGAAAAATGGAGTGTTTTCGAACCAAGCGGTACACAGTTTTCAGACAAAACTTCTAAGAACGGAGATAAACAAGGCAAGGACAGATGAGAAAAACGTTGAAGTCAAACTAGAAAGGGCGAGAGGCGCAGTACAGAGGGGTATAGATGAGAAGTTTTGGCCTTCGGTAATTAAATATTTCAGTCTGTGGGGACAAAGACAAACAGCAACAGTCATAGATATCCATCGGAAGAAGCTAATGAAACTATCATAAAGGCAAGACCGACCTCTAGGGAAGCAAGGTGACGGTTCGGTAAGAGCTCTTGATGATGTTGAATTACCAAATTGTGTACAACAAGTGTTGGCATTAGGGCCGAAACATCCCGTCAGGGAAAAATTTAATGAGACACACTTTCTCGCCTATATTGACATTTTTCTATCGGATCTCAAAAATCGTTAAGTCCCCAGGGAGGCCCTTTGTAAGATCGAAGCTGTGGCAAAAGCCTATGCTAAAAGGGTGAAACAAACACCATCTGACAAAGGCGTTGAGAAGGCCCGAAAGTATCTGAAGAGTAATGGATTAGTTGCACTACCCTATGACAAAGGCGTGGGTTTTTGTGTAATGAGAAAGGACACCTACGAGAACAAGTTAACGGATACATTAGATTCAAATCAATTCAGCAAAAGTAAAAGAACAAGTGATGCGATTGTTTTGAAGATAGAAAGAGAAATCAATAAGGAGTTGTTGGCTATGAGGAAAAAGATGAGATAAGTGAGATCGTGTTCTTTGCACAATCTTGCTTACTTCTCCGTTGATTCAGGGATGCCTGGTATGCGATTGTCTTCGAGTTCCTTGCGGCGGTTCTTGGCGACTGGAAATCAAGCTAGCTTGGGTTGGATGATCTGAATCAAATTGTTTTGTGGTTAGCAGCGTTTTGATTTTGATCACTGTTTTCTTGAGTACAACAAGTAATGACCTTAGGGCCGAAACATCCCGTCAGGGTTAAATTTAATGAGACACACTTTCTCGCCTACATTGACATCTTTCTATCGATCTCAAAAATCGTTAAGTCCCCAGGGAGGCCCTTTGTAAGATCGAAGCTGTGGCAAAAGCCTATGCTAAAAGGGTGAAACAAACACCATCTGACAAAGGCGTTGAGAAGGCCCGAAAGTATCTGAAGAGTAATGGATTAGTTGCACTACCGTATGACAAAGGCGTGGGTTTTTGTGTAATGAGAAAGGACACCTACGAAAACAAGTTAACGGATACATTAGATTCAAATCAATTCAGCAAAAGTAAAAGAACAAGTGATGCGATTGTTTTGAAGATAGAAAGAGAAATCAATAAGGAGTTGTTGGCTATGAGGAAAAAGATGAGATAAGTGAGAGTCTCTACACAAGCATGAGGTCCCCTGGGGGGCAGCCTGTCAGGCTTTATGGGATGGCGAAAGTGCATAAAGTGATTACACCATTAATACCGGTCCTCTCCCCACCTGGTAGCTCTTACTATAACTTGAAGAAGATTCCTGCAAAATTTTTCGAAAAAATTGAGGGCGCAAACATCGAAACCAACTCACTAGATGCGAGAGAAATCTTCGAGAACACTAATCTTGAGCCCAATGAAAATTTGATATCTCTAGATGTGAAGAGTTTGTACACAAATGTTCCACTGAAAAATATTCCAATAGATATAGCTTTGAGAAAACTGTATGAGCAAGATGAACAACCATCAATTGCTAGGAAAACCATGAAGAGATTGTTGAACATGGCAGTTAGTCAAATCCATTTCAAGTGCAATGAAACATGGTACGTTGAGAAAGATGGTTTGACAATGGACGCATCTCTTGCTGTTATTTTAGCAAATCTTTGGCTGAAGCAGTACGAAACTGCACTATCGAGGGATATTCCCGAAATACTTTTGCCCGAGAAAGATCCTAACGGATTATGTCCGAGTGCAATAAAAAAGTCACGTACAGGTCAAAGGTGTAAAATGTGAATGCTGTTTGAACTGGTATCACGTAAAATGCGCTGATATATCAGATGATGAGTATCGAAATATAAGTGAAACCGTCTGGTACTGTAGAAAATGCATCTCAATAAGAGAGAAAAATAAGTCAATACAGCAAGCTAAATTATTTCTCCGTTACGTTGACAATATAGTGAGAACAGTGAAGGGTGATCCTGAAAAAGTGCTACGGGCTGCAAACTTACTACATCCAAATTTACAGTTCACAATAGAGACACCAAACACAAACGGAAATTTGGTATTTTTGATTTATAAATTAGTATTGACAAAAGCAGGAAATTTAGCTGTGGGTGGTATCAAAAACCAACAGATACAGGTGCCATGCTAAATTTTAGACGCTGCGCCCCCCTTCAGTACAAGAGAAGTGTGATTGAAGGAACTGTTCACCGGGTTTTCCGCAGTACGTCAACATGGGAAGAATATGATAAAGCTATGAAAAACAACCGTGAGCAGTGGTTGGAACCAATATTCGGAAATTTGGTCGTCACGGGTTGCATCCCATGCCCTTGAAGAGATCATCAGCGAGGGCAAAAACAAAAAGAACATGGCTGAGAAAAAGAAGCCCTGTGGTTATAGCAGTGATTCACCACCCATCTTGATGGTCCAATATAAGGGGAATCACAGTCAGACATTAGCAAAAAAAGTGCGCGATATCACCAATGCGCTGATAATATTCACGACAAGGAAAATGAAAACTTGTATGGCCTCTCTTAAATACTCCTTTTACAGTGAACTGAAAACAAAAGTGGTGTACAGACTTGAATGTTGTGGCTGCAAATTCATCTATGTTGGCCAGACAGTCCGACTTCTCACGACAAGGATTAAGGAACACCAAAAAAAGGATACCCCAGTTGGACAGCATTTAGGCAGTGTGGTACTGAGAGTGTTAGGTCTGAGTTTAAATGGAAAATAATCGACCAGGTGACCAGCAGCATCAAGTTACTTACATTAGAGGAGCTGCACATTAGGAAAAAGAGACCGGCCTTTATCACGCGCGACGAGCTTAGAAGTAGAGAGCTGACACTAAGGCTATAGTTCCAGAATCAAAAAATTCTGGCTAAAACAACAAAATTTTGAGACAACTTACATGTTAGCATAAAAATTAGCGACAAAACGAAATTGTGAAAACAAAAAGGGTGAAAACTCTCAGAAATTTGTGACAAAATGTTTGAAGTTGTAACGTAAAAGTTATTACATAATTTCAGTGATATTTGTAAAGTTTTGATCGGTTGAATTTTTAAAATTTCGAAGTAATGATGTGTATGACACTTTTTATGATCTTTGATCATTTTGTACAGATAGTTTAGAAGTATTAAAACCTGAAGAAGCACAAAAATGTGCGAAAACGTTTGTTTGAATTTACAATTTTAACGCATTCTCAAAATTGATTTTAAGCCTGTCATCCGAGAATGTTTTCTCACTTATTAATAATTGTAGTGATTGCAAGACCTGATAGTGGAACTGAACCCAAACGTTGCGTGAAGGAATTTGACATTGTTTGGAAAATTTTACAACATCGGTGGACTAAGCTTCAATCCGAATGGCAAGAACCCACTGAAGATTCTACAAAACCTTCTCACAGGCACGAAGGGGTGTGCCAGCCCGAAAATCCGAGATTGTTTTCTGGCACGATTGACGTTATTAAAACATGTAAATGACGGGACTCATAAACCCTTGTGAAGAGTGACTTCCCAGAAGCCTCAACTACTACTACTACTACTACTACTACTACTACTACTACTACTAATACAATTTCGAATAACAGGAGCAACAACTATAAATGCAAATTTTCTGGTCGCGAAATTTGCTTTTGAGAGATTCCTTTTGAGTACGAAGAGAGCGTTTAAAGCTTTTTCAGCCCTCTTTTCTGCGTGTTGCGTCCAAGAGTGGGTCGGATATCAGGATGCCCAGATCTTTCATTAATCCAGTGGTTTCGAAACTGTAGTTGAGGAGTGCAATCGTAGCTCATCCTTTGATAGTGGATGTTGCTTTTCGTCAGTTTCATTGACATGCAGTTTTCCTCGCACCTCCTCCGAAGTCTCCTAACATCCATGTTGAGAATTAAAGGGTTGAGTCCAACAATTTTGTAGTCGTCTGCAGGACACCAAACCTTGCGGACATGAAACAAGACAGTAGATCACTTATGGAGACTAGCAAGAAAAGCGGCCCGAGTATAGAGCCCTGGGGAACGCCGCTGAAGACTTCTAGTTCTCCGCAAATTGATTCATTCAGCCTCATTGTTTGCTTCCGGTTCGAGAGGTAGCTGTGTATCAGAGATAAACAATTTTGTCCGATTCCAGAAGTCGATAATTTCTCCTTGAGGATTCCGTAAGAGAATTTGTCAAATACCTTCTGAAATCCCAAGTAGAATGTGTCCAGGTAGTTGCAATTTGGCATATCTAGGCGGCTAAATACCTTGTGTAGATACTCTATGACGTTTGTTATCGTCGATCGATTAGGTCTCAAACCGTGTTGGTCTGGTGTTAGGGTTGGGTAGACAATTGGGGCCAGTTTCTCAAATATTAGTTTCTCCAGCTATTTTGTTGCTTCTGAGAGCAGGCTGATTGGCCTGTAATTTGATAGGTCCTGTTTATCCCCGTCTTTGAAAAATGGCGCAAATTGCCCGATCTTCCATTTTGTTGGAAATATCGCTTTATTTGCAATCCATTGAACAGTAAGTGAAGTGATTTTGGTAGTGACTTTGAGAGGTTTTTCAGAAGAGCTTTAGCAAGTTTGTCTGGTTCATTGGCCTTGTTTACGTCCAGCTCGTTTGGGGCCTCTTCTAGTACATCGATAGATAGACAAATGAGACTTTGGCATGGATTGGCAAATGGTCGGAACTGAATAGACTTCTCAGACGATTGTCAAATTTTACGCTAGTGACAAAATGCGGTTTGTTACTAAGGAGAACGTCTAATGATTTTTCATCAGGGGCTTTTGGAAGTTTGACTAACAGAGTTTATCGAGGATTGACTGCCAATCTAGAGAAGTTGAAGTCGTTGACGACCAGTGTGGACAGTTAAAATTTATGTCTCCACTTATATACTAACAAATAGAACTTTGTTCAAATCGCTTACGCCTCAGGAATTTTATCAGTTCGACTAGATCTGAGATATCCAATGTGTAGGTACTGTTTGAAGAAGCGCTGTAGATGGAGCATATTATAATCGGCTTATTCAAGGTATGCGGATGATAACACAGTCTTGAAACGCGGAATTGATTTGGCTACTTGGATTGATTCGGTTTACTGCTATAAGTAAGCCACCATGTTTTATCAAGCCTTTATCACTCGGTCTGTCATTTCGATGAATAACCCAGTTTGTCAGAAAAAATGCAGCGTTACCGATGCTTTCTGCCAAGAGTTAGCCAGATATTTTCATTTAGCCAGATGAGTTGATAAGGGTTTTTTCTTGGTTAGCATTGGAGAAGGTTTTCCGCCGTTGACACTCAAGCATACTTCTGACATTGTAAACTAGGATATTTATCGTCGCTGCTAGTCAATTGGGTCCTTCCGATTTGGGGAGTTTCTCTTTTAATCAATTTCCACCTTTCCGAATGTACAGAGTTGTATCGCGGACTCTCAGGTCCTTTCTGTCTGCAGATTCGTCGATGATGAGTTGCCTTCTTCTGACGAGGGCAAGGTTTTGTAGATCAGCTTCTTCCTTCGTCAGTTGTCGGCTAAGGAAAATTGGTTGAGGGGAGAAAATTGGTTGGGGGAGGTAAATTGGTTGAGGTGTATGACATCGCCAATTAAGGTATAGACATTTATATGGGTCAACACTTTTGAACTTCGTCGAGATCGTGTTCTTTGCACAATCTTGCTTACTTCTCCGTTGATTCAGGGATGCCTGGTAGGCGATTGTCTTCGAGTTCCTTGCGGCGGTTCTTGGCGACTGGAAATCAAGCTAGCTTGGGTTGGATGATCTGAATCAAGTTGTTTTGTGGTTAGCAGCGTTTTGATTTTGATCACTGTTTTCTTGAGGTAAAACATTTCGTTTTCCAGGGTTTTCATTTGAGTTTCTCGAAATTCTTTTGAGGTTGTAGTTTTTTGGGCAGCTTTGATCCATTTATCTTGATGGTTTTTTTTGACGCATTTTTTGCGTATCAATAGAGCATTTTTTCCTTGGGCTGGTACTCCATTGACAGCGGCTTCACTTAGACCAGTGCAGTCTTCGTTCAGATACATTCGACAACCACTGCAAAAGCAGTCAAAAGAGCTTTCATTTTTCAAGATTTTCTCGCAGCATGTACTGCAAGAATCAGAGAATGACTTGACCCGATTACGGGTGTTATGTTTAGACATCTTCAAAGGGGCTCAGAGCCAGAGAACGATGCGCACGCCTGTTGATTTCTTTAGGTTTAGGACTCAGATTTGCGTACTGTTTAAAATTTTCGTCGTTTAGCTTCGCGCTTTTCGCCAGCCGTTCGACTCTTCGTGCCACGTGTTTTAAAGATTCTATTTCAGTCGGGAAAATAGTGCAGCACAGTAGCTAGAGTCCTCAACTCTATGTCAGCAGCCTGCTGCAGTTTTCGGTATTCGGCAATTAACGATTCGTCAAATCTTTCGGAAGCACTGAAAATGTGCTTGATCACGTCGATGACTTAACATTCTATTGAATTTAGATTGACGAATAAATAAGGAGCAGGTTTGCGTTGACAGGTAACGACGCAAAAGAGGTTTGGAATGAAAATTACAGGCGTTACTATTCAGGAACAAGTGATTCGATTGTTATGAAGATAGAAAAATATATCAATAGGGAACTTTTGGCTATGAGGAAAAAAGACGAATTGAGTGAGAATCTCTACACAAGGATGAGGTCTACTGGGGGGTCAGCCCGCCTGGCTTTTTGGGTTGGCGAAGGTGCATAAATAGAATACCCCATTGAGACCGGTCCTCTCCTTGCCTGGTAGCTCTTATTTTGACCTGAACAAGGTTCTCTAAAATTCTTTGAGAAAACTGAGGGCGCAAA